CTGGGCAATTTCAATCCCTCCCTCGCCCAAAAAAAGGGAGGTGGGCAGTGGGGTTCTATTTTATACAAAATTCACCTTTCTACAAGAGGGACTAACTGAAGCACACATTTTCACCATCTTCCTTACAGAGTATGTATTACGTTTCGTACCTCTTTGCATTTACAAAGGTACACTCATGTGTCTATGATGGTATGAATTACTTAGTACAAGACGTAACTATGCATGTGATCCTCAAATTTAATATTGAAAATAAACCAGTAAATATTTACGTAAGCACTTTCAAATCTCTAGTCCAAAGTGCTAAAAACTTGAGGTTTTATATGTACATCATCATCTGAAGCAGTAAACTACAATGATAATAATAAGCAGGTTTTTAGAGTGAAAAAAGGTGTAATTTGGGAAGTGAATCTTCAGGTATAATCAAGCATACCACTTTAAGACACCTACTAGTTTGTACACAAGTGCTGCAAAGAGACAATACTATTAGCAAAATAATAATTTACTTGTTAATTGAATATTTCAAAGTAATAGAATTTGTTTTTTTGGTTTGTTAATGAATTCAAAGTGTTATAACTGTTTTGAAAGTTTTTAAGTTTCCCCCACCCCAACAATTTTCTTTAAAAAGTACTAAATGGTGACTATTCCATAAAATATTAAAACAAGTATCATTTTAAGAAAGCATTTCATTTCTCACTTTTTAGGATGAGCCACTCAGAGTACTTAAGTATATTATAATCAGCTGCTACTAGAGCTGAAGTTTCACACCTTTAAATGAACAGGAAATAGAGAATGGAGAGTGAATACAATACTTTTAACATGTCCACAGCTTGAATTAAAAGTGTATTTATTTACTTGATTTTCAACTGCTGAAGAGTTAACAATGGAAGAAAGGGGGTGAAAAACAACGGGAAAGAGGAGTAAAATATGATGCAAACATATTTTAATGGTACTGAGAAGTCTATGCGCATCTCTACCATTACATGTATAAAAAAGGGGGCTTTCAAATTTAATGGAAAAATTCTAACGTTTTAATGTGAGCATTCCAAAGAGAACCTTTCTACATAAAGAAATAAACATGTCTCCTTTCACTACATGACTATCACATTTTTTGAGGAATATAGAAGGGAAAAATCTGCTAACCTATTAGGGTTTGAGGATTTAAAATATGTTTTGAAAAAGGACAAGTTATTCTACATATTCAATAATTATTCACACTATCTTAAATATAGAAAAATTCTAATTAAGATGCCAGGAGTACCACAATCCAAACAACAACAAAAAAATGACAAGAGGTGTTCTGTGTCTAATACAGGAAAAATGATATATATTCATTCTCAGCAGTTTTCTGTATTATATTTACATGTAGGAAGGCAACAGTTAAGAGATATCATTTATACAGCTTTAAAGCAAACACATCATTTTTAAAACACAAAATTAACTAATGATATATTATCTACTTTTTGTAATTTATAAACAAGCTCAGTGAAAATTGCTCAAATTCAATAAAGTAGAAATTCTCAGAATTTACATTTCAACCCAAGAATTGAGATCGGCTATCATATTAGGACATACATATACTTTATATTCATCTCTACCTAACTCAATTATACTGTTTTCTTTTCTTATTTATTTTATTTTATTTTTTTGAGGCAGAGTCTTGCTTTGTCGCTGAGGTTAGAGTTCAGTGGTCCAATCTCAACTCACTGCAACCTCTGCCTACTGAATTCAAGAGATTCTCCTGCCTCAGCCTCCCAAGGTGGCTGGGATTACAGGTGCCTGCCACCACACTCAGCCGATTTCTGTATTTTTAGTAGAGATGGGGTTTCACCATGTTGGCCAGGCTGGTTGAACTCCTGAACTCAAGTGATCCACCCGCCTCAGCCTCCCAGAGTGCTGGGATTACAGTTGCCACTGCACCTGGCAACTGCACTATTTTCAAAGTGGCTAAGCACCAACTTATAACCATCTTTAACACCTTAATATAAACTACAATGCCTTGAACATTCAAACAATGATGTCAAATTTTATATTGTCCTGAATTTGAATGATCGTAACTGTGGGCCAAATAGTCCTTAAATCTAAATTTTAAAGAAAAGACAACTGGTCTCTCTTCGTTATTTTTAAAATCATCTTGGGTAATGTACAAGATTTTAAAAAAAAAAGCACTGGTTTGAACTAGAAAGACTAGAACCTAACCGGAATATGTTTACCTTAGCTATCTGTATACTATTTGAAGATGGCAGAAATTCCCACTTACTATTCAAAAATATGCTTTCCATCTTGGCTTAACACATCCGTCATATTGATAGCCTTTTCTACAACTTCTCTAACCTATTGAGTAAAGCTAAACCTTTCTGCTAGGAAGAAAAGCCAGAAACTGTTTAATCTGTTAAAAGGATATTCTATAATTCATTGAAGGATACAAGGAATTCTATACTTAGTTAAATGCTTTATTAAGCTGAACTTGTTATTTAATTCTATTTGCTTGTTTGTATGTTTTAAGTCTTAACTAACTATATAAATGATACTGTAACTGGGTTTTTTCTTGGGTGGTGGTGAGGCACGGCTCCCACGAGAGAATGCTGTGGGTTTTGGTTTTTAATTTTTTTTAAAAATAAGCGATGGGACTACTGCAGGTGCGCCTTAGGCTTGTAAACGTAAATGTTAGACCCAAGCGGTGTTGCAGAAAGGTGATTTTATTTAGGTAGAGAAAAGAAAAGAAGACAAAGACTTCCACAAAGAGTGTGGAAGGGGATGCCAGAAGGGAAATCTGGCCAGGTGTGTGGATGTGGACTTTTATCCTGGGAGGAACCCCCACCTTCTCCAAGACCCTCGGCCAAAGAAAGGAGTTCCTTAGAACTTCTGCTGGAGTGACTGCCCTCCCTCAATACCTCTTAACTGGAGAGAATGAGAAAACTAGCCAAAAACGGGGAGAAAATATTTGAGAAAGAGATACCTGATGAACTATTATCCCAAAATATACAAAGAATAAAATGAAACACTAAAAAACCCCTTCACAATTTAAAAAATGGGCTAAGACTGAACAGATACAAAAAAGATACAGAAGACTCACACCAGTAATTTCAGCACTTTGAGAGGCTGAGGCAGGCAGATCTCCTGAGGTCAGGAGTTCAAGACCAGCCTGGCCAACACGGTGAAACCCAGTCTCTACTAAAAACACAAAAATTAGCCATGCTTGGTACTGCACGCTTGTAATCCCAGCTACTCAGGAGGGTGAAGCATGAGAACTGCTTTAATCAGGAGGCAGAGGTTACGGTGAGCAGAGATCACACCACTGCACTCCAACCTAGGCACTGGACAACAGAGCAAGACTCTATTTAAAAAAAAAAAAAAAAAAAAAAAAGATATACATATGGCAATAAGTATATTAAAAAATGTTAAACATTTTATGTCATTAGGGAATTACAGATTAAAACATCAATAAGACAGCAATACATACTTAATAGAATGGATTTCAAACACTGGCAATACCAAATGCTGGCAAAACCAAATGCTGGCAAAAATGTGGAGAAAAAAGAACTTCTATTCATTGTTGGCAGAAATGCAAAGTGGTTTAGCCACTTTGAGCTAAACATACTCATACCATACAATCCAGCAATTGTGCACTGGATTTTGCCCAAAAGAATTGAAAACTTATATCCACAGAAGAAACTGCACAATGATGTTTACAGTAGCTCTATCCATAATTGACAAAACCTGAAAACTACCCATTGTCCTCTTGTAGGTGCATGGATAAATTGTGTCTATTCAGACAATGAATATTATTCCATTCTAAAAAGAAATGATCAAGCCAACAAAATATATGGAGGAAATGTAAAAGCATATTACTAAGTGAAATAAGCCAATCTGGAAAATATCTGTAGCTACCAGGAGTTAGGAGGAGAAGAGGGATGAACAGGCAAAGGACAGAGGATTTTTAGGGCAGTGAAACTGGTCACACATCATTAACAAAGGGATACTTTCTGAGTATGCCTTGTCAGGCTGTTTTATCATTACATGAACAGCAATGAGTGTATTTAAACAAACCAAGATAGTACAGCCTACTACACACTTAGGCTATAAGGTATAGTCTATTGCTCCTAGGCTACAACCTGAATAGCGTATTATTGTACTGAATTCCGTAGGCAATTATAATATGATGTTAAGTGCTTGTGCATCTAAACACATCTAAAATAGAAAAGATAATTTGTCACACTACAACTTCATGATGGCTAAGGTGTCACTAGGCAACAGTTCAGATCTATCAGCATTTTATGATACATGTGGTTCATCATTGACCAAAAGGTCATTATGTGGCACATAACTATATTCTGTATGATACTACAATGGTGAATACATTTATCAAAACTCAAAAAATGTACAACACCAAAAGTCAACCCTATTGTAAACTATGGACTTTGAGTGATAATGATGTGTCAAAGCAGGTTCATAGACTGTTAACAATTATATTGCTGTGGGGCAAAGTACATGCAGCGAGAGACGCTGCGTGTGTGGATATGGATCACGTGAGAAATCTCTGTACTTTCTACTTCACTAAGAACCTAAGACTGCTCTAAAAAAACAAAGCTTTTTAATTAAAAAAAATTTTAAGAAAAAAAAAGTTACAGAGTGACTATTGCCAAAGACCGAGGCACTTAAATATTCTTGATGTTACAAAAAGTATTTCAAAATTTTGAAGCCTTAAAAAACAAAATTACATTTCAAATATTATTCTTGCTTTTTATTTTATTTTTATATAACACAAAAAGATATGTATTACGTATTTCTTCTGATACATCGATCTATACTAAAATGATTTGCATATTTGAATGCTGATGAAAATATAAAGTGTAGAAATCAACATTATTAGGTTAAAAATCCAACTCAGTTTAATAAATAGGCTGAGACGTGGCCTATTCCATTTGCTTTGGAATAACTGCAATAATTTTTGTAACTTGGACGTAACAGCTGAAATAGGATATTAACACATGAATATTTACCTTTGAGTCATAATTTTGAAGGCATCGGGGAGGTAGCAGTCTGTATTCTCCATCTGAAATGGGTCAGCATCACAAATCTTGTCATCCGTCCGACCATAGTTAGCACTCTCAATCATGATGACATCACTGCCCGGGCATCGCAGATCAATAGAATAACCTTCACAGGATAATTCTCGCCTCACCAGCCCAAATGGTAAAGCTGCTCTGCTGAAACCTTAAAAAAAAAAAAAAAGAAAAAAGAAAATTAAACTGCAACTCATTTATAAGCTTACTTACTTAGTAAAGCATTTCCAAGTAACATGACTCATGTCTACATTCAAGAGATGTTATAAACTCAGGCATTTATTAAATAATTTTTTGGTTCTCTACATCAGAAAATTATTTTTTATACATCTTTATTTGGACTCTTCATCTTTACAAAATACCCTAACAAATTACTTTCTATATAATCAGAAACTAAATGGCTTTTTAGTAAATCCAAATAATAATGACAAATTTAATCACAGACTTTACATACAGTGACAAGTTTTACAAACAGAAAATATAACTACTAATCAAGAAACAATTTTCTTGTGTAATGGAATGAAAGCTCTACTACCCACTGACTTTACTTTCTTATTTAATATATACATATTAATTGCTGTTGTTTTGTCTTAAAAAATACCTTATTTTAGCAATTTTTCTCCACAATAACTAATATACCTATGACAGTAAGAAACTTATGCCACAATAACTTACTTCCATTTAAATACACTTTATTTAAAACTGACACTGAAAAGGAATCAGCAGAGGACATTCAAAGGAGCCAGCACTGCTCCCATCCAATTCAACAAATTCAAAGAGGAGAAAAGTACAAAATTCTCTACGATCATTTACGTTATCTACAAAATTGAGATAAAACATTTGTGGCCTTACTTTTCCTACTTGTATAATTCTAAAACAAAATAATGTCCACAAAAATGCTTAAAGTACCTAAATATAAATTTGTGTATGGTATATCAGGTATAATGTGTAGAAAAACACCGTTCACAGGTGCTCTAAAAAAGATTCCTGAATGAAATAATTAGAATTTTAAGTTTAAATTAGTTTTTAACCAGTTGTCCCATAAAGTACTAACAGAGCACAGGACAGAGAAAAAGCAAGGAAAGTCAAGAACAGCAACAATTATGTTTGAGAAGAACATCCTTGCTGTCCTGGTGGGCTACTATAGTGTTAGCCCTGATAGCAAAAACTTCTACACTGTTTTAACTTTTTCAGGTCTCTAGCCTACCAGCATCTATAGCATTCATATTATAAAAAAAAACAGCAACACATTCAGTATTTTTCTTATCATTTTCATCATTCTGTATTATATACATTATTACAACTGTTCCAAGTTATAAAATTCCAAGAAGAGCTGGGCTGTGCACAGATCAATCCAATGCCAATCCTTGTTCCCTTTATCTTTCTTGTACAATGCTTCTCACTAATTCAGCAAAATACAAAGTCACCTGGTTAAATACGATACTCTCTTAGATGTAAGTATATTCTTCCAAAGCAGTACTGATGATACACTGGTATGATTTTAAAAAGCAACAATTCTCAAACCTGGCTAAACACTCAGTTCTTTAGAGAAAAACTAAAGGTGTTTAACTGGATGAAAAGGGAAGAAAAGAATACTTAAATTTGTAACTCAGAAATCTTTGGGAGATTGCAGCAACCCCCAACCTTGATTAAGTTTTCACTCAAAAGGGTTATAGTATGTGGAGACTACTATAAGTATGTGGACTACTAATGAAGAAGGGATACAGAAATAGAGTTAGGTAAATGTCAAGACAAATGGTAAACAGCTCAAACTTCCAAAATGTTTTTCTTCCCCAACAAGTTCATTAACTTTTATGTGTGTACACACACACACACACACACACACACACACACACACACACTGCATTTTTCTCCATCTCCTGACCTTGTACTATACTGCCTCTACAAATAATTCAGATTAAACTAGTACTAACGTATTTGTTTTAATAGAAATATTTTTATGGCTTCAGAAGCTGACACACTTCTGTGGCAAAGGCTATGTGAAAATTCAAACAAATGACATCAAATAAAATTTTGAAATGCAACCTATTTTAAACACAGGCAATTTGCAATTATAATTCTATAATAAAACAGAATAAATCATATTATTAGAAAATGCTAGGAATATTAGAACACACTATTAAAAGACTGGCTTGGAGCCATAACTCACAATTCTTACTATTTTGTCAAAAACACTGAACTGATTATGAAGCACTGTGGTTTTTAAAAAGAGGACTTTAATTTTTGTTGTTTGTTTGCAGGATTATAGTTACTGCTCTAAGTGAATTTTCCTCTGCTTTTAAATCCTATTTGGGAATTTGCAGTGTCTTACTGTTCGATAACTCAGGGAGAAGAGTTTTAAAGCTTTAGTCACAGACATCCAAAACAGTACAGTAAGCCTGGGCACTGTGGCTCATGCCTTTAATCCTAGCCCTTTGGGAAGCCAAGGTGGGCAGATCACCTAAGGTCAGGGATTCAGGACCAGCCTGTCTAAGATGGTGAAACACCATCTCTACTAAAAATACAAAATTAGTGGGGTGTGGTGATGCACACCTGTAATCCCAGTTACTCGGGAGGCTGAGGCAGGAGAAATACTTGAACCTAGGAGATGGAGGTTGCAGTGAGCCAAGATTACAACACTGTACTCCAGCTTGGACAAAAAGATCCAAACTCCCATCTCAGAAAATTTAAAAAAAAAAAAAAAAAAAAAAAGTACAGTAAGGAATAAAAAAGTGAAGATCAGTACACTTTAACAATTTAGTAGATTGCCAATAAAAAATATACTGGAGAAAAAATACCATGGTACTTGCTATCATTTGAATATAGCTTGTTCCCAACAAACTCAAATAGAGGCTTAGTCCCCAGTGTGGCCAAATTGGGATGTTGTGTCTTCAACAGGTGATTGGGTCTTTATCTTAAAAACTTTCTTCCCTCCCCACCCCCAACAAGAAAGAATCTTGCTCTGTCACCCAGGGTAGAGTACAACAGCACAATCTCGGCTCACTGCAACCTCCGCCTCCCACGTTCAAGCAATTCTCCTGCCTCAGCCTCCCGAGTACCTGGGATTACAGGCACGAAACACCACACCTGGCTAATTTTTGTATTCTTCGTAGAGACAGGGTTTCACTATGTTGGCCAGGCTGGTCTCAAATTGTTGACCTCATGATCCATCCACACTGGCCTCCCAAAGTTCTGGACCACCATGCCCAGTCCTAAGGTCTTTACGACTGGTTTAGTTCTCATAGGAATGAATTAGTTTTTTGCTTGCACTTGTCCTGCCACTTTTCAACCATTCTAAGAAGCAGCATGAGGCCCTTACCAGATGTGGCTGCCCACCTTGGATCCCAGAATCCCAGAACCATAAGCTAAATAAAAGTCTTTCCTTTATAAATTACCTAGTCTGAGTATTTTGTTACAGCAATGAAAACTGCACTGAGTTCTTAGTAGTGAATACCGCTTCATTTAATGCTACAATGTCTTTTGTTTTAAATCATAAATGTTCTTTTCTAAATTATTTCTCTTACTGTTTCAATTAAACTATATATATGCAGATATATACATGAGATACTATGCATATTCATTTATACATATTTTTTAAATTTTTATATATATATCCTGCTAGACTGTAATAAGGTTCTTAGTTACAATCCCAATGCCTACAATAGCACATGATACATAATTCCAATAAATGTGGAACCAAACTGTTGAATTAAAATAGTGATTAGCACAATATAAATTGCAATGTGCTTTCCTTGGTAATGTCTATTTCCTTTGGTAGTGAAAACAACTGGTGAACATTAAAAACAAGGCAAACTACTTATTATCCATGAAAATTATCTGCCATCTCCCCAAAAAAGTAAAAAATATTTAAATTCTGTCAATTTATTATTTTCTATGTATCGCTGGAGTATCACAAGACCAGTGGGTTACATATTTATTCATTTCTCTTTTTCTAAACTCTTGTGTTTCCAACATACATATATATATTCATTAAAAACCAGAGAGAAATAAATACTACAATAGTTAATATTTACAAAGATATTACTATATGCTTGCACTGGCTTATATACGTTACTTTGTTTTCTGTTCGACAACATAAAAACATAAACAATGGAATAGTTACTGTTATAATACCAATTTTACAGAGGATAAAACTAAGGTATCAAATAGTAGTAAATTTGGGGTCTCCATCTTACCACAACTTAGATTCTAACCCATGTAGGGAGCTTAGACTCCAGAGCCCTTCTCTGATCAACTCGACTACTCAAGCCATCTTGCTAATAACAAGATTTATTTTTTAGGAAGTAAGAAGAAATAGAAGATTCTTCTTCAAAACTTTCCTCTTAGTTCATTACAAATAAATAACAGCTTCTTCAAAGGTTAATTTACTTTAAAGCTTTTGCTAATAATCTTAAAATAGCTGTTAGTCATAATAAAGAAATAAGTGTATCCTGTGTTCTTAGTTCTTACACTTTAACCTAGATATTTGCCCTGACATTCCTGGACAAGCCCAGGCAATTCTTAGGTCATAGCTTATTCCCTTTCCTTATTTGGAAATGTAACTGCTTCTCTAAGCACTCCTCAAGTTACTTCCTCTTTTCCTTTGTTCTCCTCTGCATTTACCTCTTTAGGAAAGTTTTAAGTTGTTAGCCAACGAGGTGCAGTCTAGACTGTGAAGTCCAGTTCCAGCCAGTGGTATCAGGACACAGCAGTAGGGCAGATGCGTTAGATATAAATGGCCCTGCCTCCTTTGTTCAATGTCCTCTTGTGGCAAGATGGCTAACGGGAGCACCCTTTCTGCAGAAAGTAAAGTTGCCTTGTTGAGAAAAATTAAATTTATATTGGAGTGCTACTTCTTTTGAAGCACCAAAAATTTATATATAACATATTTCAAAAGTTTTCATACAATCTGAAAATCACCAAAGAATATTAGTAAATTTGACAGGAAATAATTGTTATAAAGATTCACAAAACTATATGAATAGTCGTGAAAATCATACTTGTAGAATGTAAACATGTGTACCATAAATATAAGTAGAGCAAAAACTATACTGCAGGTACAAAAGGAAAGAGCACTGACCATTGAAGTATGAGTATTGGCTCAGCCTTATGACTTTGGGCAAGTCGTTTTACTTCTCTGGGTTTTAATTT